CTGACATTTCATCCTCCATATCCACTGCTCCTTTAGTCATATTATAAAAACATATAATTCCTGACGTTTTATTTTCTCCAATAGTATCCATCTATAGTATGACCGTTATATAATGTTGAAAGCATAAGAACAATTTTTCCTTTTTTAGGGAACATCAGGAATTAATGTTTTTATCTTTTTTGAAATCCAAAACAGTGTAGAAAATATTCCTAGTTTTATCTTCAGTTTCCGAAATGCAATCTTCATCACTTTCAAATATTTCTAATAAATCTCACAGGCGTTGCATCTCCAATTCAATGGTAGTCATTCTTTTTACCATAACGCGGTTAGAAATCTTTTAAGAATTTAATGCGTCAAAGTACTTTAAAATCACTTGCGAGTAGAAATATTTACTGTTACGCTCCAGAAATAAATTTCTGAACTAAATATTCAGTCAGAAAAGCACTTACGCGGACAGGCGCGTGGGTGTGTCATACCCCAGTTTCAAACAAAATACCGATAAATCTTTTTCTGAAACACACAGGCAAAGAAAAAGTGGTTCTGAAATTCAAACACAACTAGAAACTCAGCTACTGAAAGCAGCACAGAATTTCAGTTTCAAAAGTTAGGAATATTCCACTTTTATGTAAGGTTGAGGTATGATACACCCCACGCGCTTTCCCGCGAGTTAACTGAAATAGATAATTAGATAATTTTAGTTATATCGTCCGTTATACATTAAATGCACATGCGTAAAGTTATTACGCGCACGCGCAGAGTTTGTAGCTTTGAGGTTATGGACTTCCGGATTAAAGACTTTTGACTGCATTAAAAAAGAATGCGTTGAAACGTTTTTTGCTTTGTCTGTATTGTCCTATCTGTTTTCAGATACATTGTGTTAAAATATTTGGAAATTGTAAAATTATTATAATACGTTAAAGAAATATCAAAACTGCTAACGTTTTTGGCGACCCCAGTTTAAGAAACCCTTGCTAAGTGACTATTATTGAATTGTTATTTCATAATAATAATTATTAAAATTCTATGGATGTTTTAAATTATAAAAGCACGTGTCACACAGTTTTCTTTAAATATATGTAGCAACGAGAAAATGTGCTTTTGACAGCAGCTCATTTCGACGATGGAAAATTTTTCTAAACGTAAGAAATTTGTCACTTAATTTTTTATTAAATAAATAATAAAACGAAAAGGATTCGCATAAGACAAAAAAAAAAAAAAAAAAAAAAAAAAAAAAAAAAAAAAAATTAAAAAAATACTTAATGGGGGCCAACTTTAATGCCTATACTTTTCAAAAGAAAAATATCTGAAGCATGTTGTGCAATAAATGTTTTGTTTATTTACCTAAGGTGAAAGATGCTTTCGTTGGAAGACTTCCTAAAGGAAACTTGCTTGAATACAAGTTACACATAAGAAAAATTAAGTGTCCTTGCAGGCAGCCCATTTGCCGAGATTCGAAACATAGGTTTTTCGGTTACGACTTTTCAGCTCAGCCGCTGGTGGGATACCAGAAAAGATCAAAACTTCATATTAGAGAGAAAATGGTAGCCTAGTATAATACGAAGTTATTGCCATTTCAGTACTGTTTAATTAGTTTATGGCAAACTATAAGAGGGCTATTCCTTAATATACTGGGAGTCTGACCCACATTCAAACTTTAGTGAACAGGTTCACTGCATGAGCATTTTCATGGTTTTAACTATACATGGGTATGAGATAGTTTACCTTAGGAATTCTGTCACAAAAGTATACCTCCCCTTATGCACATTGCCTTTAGCGTGCTTTGCCATATCACATCATCACGTTAGATTATAGACAAACCAAACATAACCCAAGTGAGGACTCTTAGTCAAGGCACATCTTCATTAAGAGCTAAATTAAATTGGCTCATATTCACATTAAACATGAGCAGCAAAAATCCATGAAAACTGGTATGTACGCAGTCCATTCGCCAAGATTTAAATCTGTTTCAAAGTATTAGTATTAAAAGATTTTACTGCTACATCATTGGCAGCCTTTTGTAGTAGCATCTATATGAAAAGTCATCTCAAAGGCACAATTATTGTGTACCAATGCATTAAGAATAACTTTCATTCATGGTATTGTTGTCAGCATTGACATTTGGAGATAGGTTATTTTCTGTAATTAATTCTTCAACTCATTGTTCTTCTAACTGTAGTTTTTAGTGTACCAGTATATCTAACCCTTCCATACACCAAATGTTTTACTTAACTTACACTCCATTAATTTTGAGATTTTATACAAATGGATTTCTTTTCAAAAAAGTTTAAAGAAATTCATTTTTTCCTTTTTGTATTTCAAATCTTAATAAGTTTTAAGACATTTCTAGAAATTCCTTCAGCATATTGATTTAAATGAAGTTTTAGAGCAGAATATCTTCCTTTCAACATTCAAGAAATTTTTATTAGTCAGTTTGCCATTTTTAAGAAACAAAAAAAAAAAAAAACCCACACATACGAATACAAAACTCAAGCATGCTGAAAACAGTTTTAACATTTCAAAATGTAAAAAGAAGAACATACCATTAAAATAACCTGAACTTGAAATACGAGGGCAAACAAGACAGCTGGTTATAGCATTTCATATTTTTTCCAGATGAATCAGAAATTGCAATCAGCTTTCAATAAAATGTACAACATGATTTACAAGAGCAGTTATTTTTTGTTTCTACAAATTCAGTAATGCACTATAACAATGGGCTATTCTGTTAGACTTCCATTTTCATAAAATAATGCAAGCATAAACTGTCATAAAACAATTTATCTTCATTCACAAATTTTTAGATGCCAAAAAGATTAATACATACATGCTGTGTGACAGCAGTACTTCAGATCTCACACTGCCTGAACAGCTTTGTGTAGACTTACGCTGCCCGCAGAAAGTTAGAGGCAAGAACAACACAGCATATATCATCCACACACATTTTAAGTTCTCCTGGCCAGAACTGGACTTCAATTTTCAGTATACATATCTAAAGCACTTTTAAACAAAACTCTGAAAACACTTAAAACACATCTCTACTTAAGCTGTTAAAAGGCTAATGGCCACCAGGGTTATGGAGTCAATAGGGATAAACACATCCCTACTCAAGCAGTTTAAAGGTTAATGGCCACCAGGGCTATGGAGTCGATAGGGAAAATTAACAGACTCCTGGAATTTTAATGACTCCAACTCCCTCACATATATATATATATACATACACACACGAGTTACAGCTTAAAAGAAGTAATAGATGCTACAAAAAAAATTTAATTACATTAACTAGCATTTATTACGAAATGGAAAAACTAGCATTAGTTATTTCTAAGAAACAATATAGCTTCGGCAAGACCTTTGTTAGAGGGCCATAGATCCAATTTAATAAACTTCATAGCTGAGAAGAGTCTTTCCACACTAACTTGAGTAGGAGGAAGAGCTGTTACTGTTAGGGTTACTTCTTTTAACTTTTCAGGATAGATTTTTTTGTAAGTTCTTATTTCTCTATTTCTTCAAAGGTCATGAAAAAATCTTGAATTTCTTTAGCCTTTTCAGTATTATCCGAAAATATTTCTCAAAATCTAATTATCACCAGAAAAGGTTGATACTCTATTGCAATGTCTACAATTTGACTGTTCCAAAAATAATTTCATTCTTAATGGAAGTTCATAGATGACTTTCTTTGCCTTTTTAATTTGTTCATCATCCAAGAAAATTCAGTGTTTCGGATCTCATTGTCTAGCAAAATAGTTTCTCCTTTCTTCACTAGAAATTCCTTCTGCAATAAACCCTCCATTTCAGAAAGGAAAAACAACCCATTGGAGATCAAGTGTGTTGAGGTCAAAGTCTCTGGAAAAGCACAACCTTTTTACTGGGCAAATGCATGTACTGTTCAGTAATAAAATATCTGTAGTTTAAAAGGGTTAAGCAATTAATATTGCTTAATTTGTCATTATGGCCCAGTTTACGAACACCATGTAATGTCTAGTAACAATAATAAAAAGGTCATATTTGATATTCATTCATATTCACCTGAAAGTATTAGGCAGTTTTTAATGTTGCAAAGCATACAAAGGGGCAGGACACCAGGGGTTACACTAGCCTTGTTTTCATGTTATTCAAACATTTTACAATAACTATTGTTCAGTCCAATTTTCTCTGCATCAAAACCGCTTGCTAATTACACTTTCACAGATACAAAGAGATACTCTAAGTTACCAATTTTACTGGAATACAGTATCCACAGAATGATTAATAACTGCACTAGGACTATTAAAGAAGATCTATAATTAGCAATATTTTTCCACTAAAGTTTACGTGTCCATTAAAAGCACTTGATGCTTTAAATAAGATAATTCATATTTATAGTTGTCATTTCCCAAACTCTAAGAGATTTTCATGCTAAACAGCAGCATCAAAAGAAACTTATAATCCTTTTTTAATACATGATATAGGTTATTCAAGTACTTGTAATAAGACTAATTGAAATATATACCAAAATTCAATGCTTATTGTTAATTTCATTTTGTAATTTTCTAGTTTTGAGGAAATCCACCCAGAAGAGAAAGGTCAGCTTCAACTCAAAGTGTAAAATAACTAGCATACTGTAAATGAATGTTATAATGTACCTTATACTGAATATCAATATTAGCTGCTAAACAAATCCTAAAGTTCCATAAATGTCTACAACAGATTAAGACTGGAAGGAAAATACTAAAGATAATTAGCAGTGACAAAGTAAAATTTATTCAACTGCCAATAATTGCAGAAGAAAACACCTTCCATTAGTAAAGGCAAAATGTTATCTAGGTTAACATCTTCAACATTCCTTTCAATGAATAATTGTACTTGCAAGCCCATACTTAAAATATTTTATGCAGGGTGCTCAATTTATATATTGAAATACATAAACTTTTACCCATATTACTTTCATGTACATATCTATAACATGTTATAGAAAAAGATCTGTATTAAGACAATTTCATTTTAAGCAGACTGACAAAAACTAACTGCTGAAATGAATTTTTATTGGGCCAAATCAATCACAAACAAGAAAGAATTTGTAAAAAATTAAGCATACAGTCCAAAATAAAATTTTATTTTAATTTCCTCCACGGAGTCTCAGAACAAGATGCAGAGTAGATTCCTTCTGAATGTTATAATCAGAAAGCGTTCTGCCATCCTCAAGCTGCTTGCCAGCAAAAATAAGACGTTGCTGATCTGGAGGAATTCCTTCTTTGTCTTGGATTTTTGCCTTCACGTTTTCTATTGTGTCACTTGGTTCTACTTCAAGAGTTATTGTTTTACCTGGAAATATTTTACAGCTTATTAATAATAAATCATATACAAGGAAAACATACTGACAATCCTAAATAAAAGCTTATGCTGAATCGCATTTTGCAATATTCTACTTTAAAAATGACAACACATGACTGAGAGAAATCTTACACATTAGCCACTCTGATATCTTAAATTTTCTCAACAAAAACTTAACTGTAAATAAAAGTATTTTTAAATAATACATCAACTTTCACAAATTACAGTTCAGTGAAAGTTTAGTTATTAGGGAAAGTGCAGAACCACCTATTGCTTGACATAAAGAATTGCACAAACATGCCATTGCACAACAGTAGTTGTTTTACACATCTCTATTTTCTCTACAAGCATTTCTCTTAAAATAATGTTAAGTAAATTTCTTTTGGTGGAGGATTCTAGACAAACCAAACATTTCTCCGAATATGTGTACACACTTCCAATACTACGCAGCTGTTGGAATGGTTTCCAATCTTCTCCTTAGCTGTTAAAAATTACATCATTAATGTATCCCATCCACAATTACTGGTACAAAAGTTTAACGAATTCCTTTTACAACTGTAGCCATTTTTGTACATTTTACCCTCCCCCCATTAAAACTTTTCTACACCAATCTTGATGCACTTTCCTTAGTTTAATGCTAAGAATAATTCACTTGTTAATTAATAAGTCTATTTTCCTTTCCCCATTTCATTATCCACAAGCAAGATGGGAAATGTAATCATTCATACCATCAAACAATTTAAATAAACTGCGTAAACCTCATTTTCATTATTATAGTTAATACACATGCCAAATTTCAAAACACGCCTAAACATATATATCCATGTACATAATTCAAAAGTCAAACGAAAATGAGCGTTATATTTAAAATTTTCATTCTACATCTTTGGAAATTTTAAATAAAGTAATTCTTTGAAGGCAGGCTTAAGAACATCAATTCAATTTTTTTTAAATAAATCAAAACTGGCGTTTTTTTCTGCAATGAACCTAATTTTCAAAATGTGAAAAAATCAAATAAGTATATTGTCTTAATAAATGCAAGTTTATGAAATATATACTAAAATAAGTAATTATACAAACTAAATAAGATAAAATAAATGCTGTTTAAATACTGGTTTTCATAACAGATCTAAAATCCTGTGCCACTCAAAGGGTTAAAAAAAAGATTTTGGTACTATTCCGTTTTGAGGACCGTAAAAAATTGCAGCGAAAATGTATACGCAAAAGCGCCAAATCTAGCTTAAGCGCTGATTTCAGATTGCGTAAAGTTTAGATAGTTCTGTATTTCTTAAGACGCCACTGAAATACAAGTTTAATTTTTAAATCCTTTTTTGATATTCTATAGATTTAACTATTTGGGAATTGCCCATGACGAAAAGTCTGCAATATAATTTTTTTGAAAGAAAAGGAATCATTCATCATAGAAAATTATGTTTGAACAACCAACGAGATGAAATTATGCTTTAGCGATAAGTCGGTTGCAAAAGAGATGCAGGCATCCATTCAGTTAGTTTAGCAATTTTACACAGATATAATAATGATCTGAGATAGTTATTTACTCTTTTGCTTCCATTCAGTCATGTTTAGCCTTTTTCATATAAATTATAATAATAAAAAGTATTACATGAAATTAAACTTTCATCTAAATTAAAACAATAATCTTAGATAGTTATTTACTATTATACTTCCTTTCCTGCGTTAGGGTTGCCGCAATTATTTTTAGCAGCACTGGCATCAACAATAGTTGGGCGATTTTTTACGGTCCTCAAAACGGAATAGTACCAAGATTTTTTACAAAACTTGACAGCTAGGCATAATTAAAAGTCGTAGAATCGAAATATGGAAAATATTTGGCTTGTCATTTCGGAAAAGGGAGATTTTGCATCAAAATACTATATTAGAACAGTGATATATATATATTTAATACATAACACAAAATACGCTTCTGAGACCCGAAAAACGCAAGTTGCATTTGACAACTGGCCGAGTAGAACAGGATTTAGAACTCTTCTGCGCTGTGTACACATACACTATTCCTTAGCAATTCCACCATCTGGAAACATTTTCCTAAAGTTGGATAATGATCCAATAATGCAAATAACAGAAAGTACCTAAAGACAAGATATTTTAAGGTCCTTCTCAGAAAGCACGAGACTTGCTATAATTGCAAACAAAACAGCTTTCGTATTCATTGGACACATATCAGACAAGCCACAGCACATATGCTTACTGAAAATCCAGAAAATTACATTTCCATTCAGGCTAGTGGCTAAATCACTTTTTAGATGAAAACAATATTATCAATGCACATTGATAATCTTCAGAAATTTTTAAGAATATGAGAGAGTGAAATATACTGTTAATCAGCTTTGCCAGTTAACAGGGATGGAAACTTTGGGACTAACCATGTCATAATTATCCCAGGTCATCACACAGGATTGCCTTGCTACTTTTTTTAAATTATTATGTTAACTTGTATACATGCAGGGCCCAGTTTACTAGCTAAAATTTTAAAGCAAAACTATTGGCATTGTAAATAGTAAGAAATTCAGTCTTTTATCCATAAATGTATTGTTTGTCACAGATGTAAATTATCTAATAATCAATGGCAAGGGTGGGAGTTAATGTTGGATGCATATTTAAATTTTATTTATTTTTTTTTTTTTTGCCTTATTTATTTTCTCAGTATTTAATTTGGTACTACTTTGGTAGACGGTTGCACGGATTTTTTTTGAGATCTACATTGGCACAGTTTTTACTGTCGTCAGCCATATTGAAAAATGCTGTTTTTACGCATTTCACGCATAGTAAAGTATTCGAAATAAAAATAAGTATCATTAAAAATAATGGATTAATTTTTTGTTGAAAACATTGTTTTTTACAATGGCTGGCAAATGTAAATAAAGAGATTTACTAAGTGTATAAAATGCTAAAGTAAAGTTAAATTATTACTTTCATATAATAGAATAAAAACACTGCTATAAAAACATTGTGCTAACATTTAATTGGAATAAAATATTACTTCAATTGAATATTGAATTAAAATTATTAACCAACGTTTAAAAGAAATTTTTCAATTACTTAAATTCAAATCCTTTAAAATATGTTTCATAGGATATAATTAGTTAACATTAAAACATATGCGACAATAAATATCTCAGGAATTTTTGAAAAAGTATTAATTTTTTAATAAAAATTAAAGTGTACAATAATAAAGTAAAAGAAAAATACATACTTACATTTTTTTAAGCATTTTACCTTAAGTATATTGATAAGTAGCAGGGGGAAAAAAAAGATTTTCATCTGTTATCCCTATCTCTCGCACTTCATTGAAGAAACAATTAGCGAGGTTTCCCCAAAAAATGTTTAATAAATTTCTTCTGAACCTTGTAACAATAAATAAATCTTTGAGTAAGAAATCCATGTTGTCCAAAATAAAGTCTCAAACGGCAATTTTTTTATGCCAATACCAATAATTCTTGGCAATTACCAATAGCAACATTTATCTTCAAAATGGAGACATCCATTCATTACCTATGCCTGCTTCTGAATGCACCATCATTCAGCAGTGATAATTCCCTTTGGCATGCCATTCTTAACTGGCAGCATTAGAATTGCACTGATCTATTATTTGCTGTGTACATTTATTGAAGGCAATAATTCTGAAACACCACAGCATACAAGCATTTGCCTCCATTAACTTCAATTCTATGTATTCACTATTAAAAAATTTTAACAACATGGAACTCTGACAAAACAGTAAATTAGTAAAGGCAAACAATGAGTTAACAGCGTTTTACATTTACTGGATGAAGAAATACATCTTTTACTACCAAGCTATATTTTCATTAAACAAAGCATACAATGCTGTCTGCCAAGACTTAACGGCAGCTGGCTCATCATTCACCTGAATTTAAACATTGCACAAAATAAAAAGAGACCTAGGATCAGGCCAAGATTTCCTTTCAAAAATTACTGAAGTTTTAAATTAGCATTTACTATTAGAACCTATACCATCGATGGCTCAAATGCAATGGCTTATAAATACGTGAAAACATACCCATTCAACCTGCAACAGAATCACCAACTATATTTTATCACGTTGCTTTTAAAGTAAAATTTGCTGATATGGTTTTAGATTTCACTATAAGGGCATAGATTTCTTTTAAAACCAATAAGTTTGTTTTCATTTCAGTAATTAAAATATATATAACAACTTACCAGTTAGAGTCTTCACAAATATTTGCATGCCACCTCTCAGCCTCAAAACAAGATGTAATGTGGACTCCTTTTGAATATTGTAGTCAGATAATGTTCTGCCATCTTCTAACTGCTTGCCAGCAAAAATCAACCTCTGCTGATCTGGCGGAATACCTTCTTTATCTTGTATTTTTGCTTTAACATTTTCTATAGTATCACTGGGCTCGACTTCCAATGTTATGGTTTTACCTAGAAATAAATATGATTTTTTAAGCAACAGTTCCCACAATAAGAGCTCAATACTTCTCAAGTGAAACTCATCTTACCTGTTAATGTTTTGACAAATATCTGCATTCCACCTCTTAATCTCAAGACCAGATGAAGAGTAGACTCTTTTTGAATGTTATAGTCTGACAGAGTACGGCCATCTTCAAGTTGTTTACCAGCAAAAATAAGTCTCTGCTGATCTGGAGGGATTCCTTCTTTATCTTGGATTTTTGCTTTTACATTTTCAATTGTGTCACTGGGCTCAACTTCTAATGTAATTGTTTTGCCCGTCAGTGTTTTCACAAATATCTGCATACCTCCCCTAAGCCTCAAGACTAGATGAAGGGTAGATTCTTTTTGAATATTATAGTCCGAAAGAGTACGGCCATCTTCTAATTGTTTACCAGCAAAGATCAGACGCTGCTGATCAGGTGGAATACCTTCTTTATCCTGGATTTTTGCTTTCACGTTTTCGATAGTGTCACTGGGCTCTACCTCTAAAGTAATGGTCTTGCCAGTAAGAGTTTTCACAAAAATTTGCATTCCTCCTCTTAACCTAAGTACCAAGTGCAGAGTCGATTCTTTCTGAATATTATAGTCTGATAATGTACGTCCATCCTCTAGCTGCTTCCCTGCAAATATAAGCCTTTGTTGATCAGGAGGAATACCTTCTTTATCCTGGATTTTAGCTTTTACATTTTCTATTGTATCACTAGGCTCAACTTCCAATGTGATAGTTTTTCCAGTAAGAGTTTTAACAAATATCTGCATCCCTCCTCGAAGCCTCAAAACTAGATGCAGAGTGGATTCTTTCTGAATGTTATAGTCCGATAATGTACGACCATCTTCTAACTGCTTACCAGCAAATATAAGCCTCTGTTGATCAGGTGGAATACCTTCCTTATCTTGGATTTTAGCTTTAACATTTTCAATTGTGTCACTGGGTTCAACTTCTAGGGTGATCGTCTTCCCAGTAAGAGTTTTCACGAAGATCTGCATTCCTCCTCGAAGCCTTAGGACAAGATGCAGTGTTGATTCTTTTTGGATGTTATAATCTGACAATGTACGTCCATCTTCCAACTGTTTACCAGCAAATATAAGCCTTTGCTGATCAGGTGGAATGCCCCCTTGTCTTGGATTTTGCTTTGACATTTTCTATCGTATCACTGGGCTCAACTTCCAATGTTATGGTCTTTCCAGTAAGAGTTTTAACAAAAATCTGCATACCGCCTCTCAGTCGCAAAACTAAGTGCAGGGTAGATTCTTTCTGAATATTATAATCCGAGAGTGTACGCCCATCCTCCAACTGTTTTCCAGCAAAGATAAGTCGCTGTTGATCAGGAGGAATTCCTTCTTTATCTTGAATTTTGGCTTTTACGTTTTCAATTGTATCACTGGGTTCTACCTCCAAAGTGATGGTCTTTCCGGTTAGAGTCTTGACAAATATCTGCATACCACCACGCAACCTGAGGACTAAATGAAGAGTGGATTCCTTCTGAATGTTATAATCAGACAAGGTTCGACCATCTTCCAATTGCTTTCCTGCAAATATTAGCCTCTGTTGGTCAGGAGGAATTCCTTCCTTGTCTTGGATCTTGGCTTTTACATTTTCAATGGTATCACTTGGCTCCACCTCCAAAGTGATAGTTTTTCCAGTAAGTGTTTTTACAAAGATCTGCATCTTGCTCTGGAATATGAAAAATAAAAATACTTAATACACTGAATTATTCTTAGTACATTCAGAGTTGCATTTTAAAGATAAAGGTCACTTTTTTTATATGTACCTGGCATATAATCTGACAGAACTATAACGTTTCTTAAGTATTTATCATTGGGTATCCCTCATGCATTTGGCTTCTCCACAGGTATCAAAAAAACTATTGAATATGCATAATGAAAATATACAAAAATAGTGATGAACTATATTAGAATTCCACAGACAAAGGATTGACTTTTTAATAGTAAAAAGAAAACTGCACAACCTGCAGTAATAGTTTTTAAATTTAAGCAGATCATGGGCAAGTAAACATATTTACATGCTTTTCTTCGTCTTTAATCGTTGCTAAACGATACCTATTATAAAAATGTTGATATATAGTTTTAAAAATAAGTAGCTTTCTTTTCGATTATTTTAGTTCAGAAATTCCAAGTTGTCTGATCACTTCTGTGTGCCCCCTTACCTCACACAATTTATGACAAAATAAGAGATTCAATTCTTTGGTAAGAAGTTCGGAATACTTGATGTCTTACATTTCAACGAAACTTATTCATGATTACGGGTAAAGGTCGGAATCGCCGAATTATTTGTCTGGCGTTTCTTATAATACTAGGAATTGGATTTCTGTCAATTTTCTTTGACTTTTCAAGAGAAAATAGGTCGATGTGTACATGGATAAAGTCAAGGGAGTGCACAATGCTGTTTTTCTGAAAGTCCGATTTATTTTTAAGCGAAAATAGGACGATGTGTACATGGATAGAGTTTGCGTAATTCTTAAAAACGCGCCACGCAGCGAGTGATTCTGCACTTTCCCCTTCATTAAATATACAGTACACATGCGGAATTACTTTCAGACCTGAATTTCTAATATAGAATATCTCAGTAATCTATAAAATTTAAGTAGTAAAAGCGAAATAACATCCCTTGCACATCAATATCTGTTCACTTACTAACACCAAGATTTAAAAATTTAATATTATTACCATGAACGTTTTACAGTCCGTTAACATCAGAACATTAGCGATTGTTTATAGTTTCGAAGTATACTTAACAGCAGTTCCACAATGGTAATGACGGATTTTTCTTTTAAGCGCTAATTACGTAACGTTTCGAGTAGGTCTGAGATATAGCATGAAAACTCACAACAAATACAATTGATTAATAAAAAAATTTCTCATAATTAATTAACAACTGAAATACATAGAGCAATTGCGTTTACTAAAGGTAAACAAGACTGGAAAGAATCAATAAAAATTTTCATACATAATAAATAATCTATACATACAATATCAATTTACACATTACTCTACTCACAAGCAGAAAATTCTGATTTAAATTGACAGCTGCTTCAAAGAACTAAGAAATTACCAAAAAATTCCTTACCTTGTATAAACGCAACGTTGAGACGCTCAAATTTTGTTCGAAATGGCGAATTTCGCGATTATATACTGCAATCTGACGTAAAGGCTTGATTAACAGTTGTCTGAATCTCATTGGCTACTGAGCTCAACTGCGGTACACGAAACAACCAAAAAGTTCTAGACGTTTCTGACGTCATGGGGCTCAAGATGCGAACCGCACGCTTACGATGGAGCTTCACAACGCAAGCTGCTTCATACTCATTGATTTAAGCATCACGAGCCTCACTTGGAAGAGCAGCGACACTATCTTCAAACTGCGCAATCTCAAATATATTGCTGCAAAAAGAAGTAAACATTGTTCAAACTTGAAGTCAGGTACTCAAAAGCACGTGATTGTAACTGTTTTGTTTTAAAACTGAAAATAAGGCAATGATTTTTGTTTAAAAATGATGATTTGTAAATGAAGGATATTAATAGATATCTAGAACGAACTAAATTTTTCATAAAATATTTTTGTTCTTCCTGCTGCAGCTTTTTCTGAGGAAAACATTTTGAAAGTTCATAAAATGAACTCTGAATAACTTTCGTCCTTTATTTATCCATTAGGAATGGTGTGTGTTTCATAAATCTATCTCTTAACGAACAGAAAACAAAATCACCCAACATAAAAATATTGGCGAAGATATTCTATTTGGAATTAAATGAACGATATGGATGAGTGATTATAATCGTTTCTTAACCTCATGAAATTTTATTTAAAATAGTATGGAGAAATGCAATGAAGAAATAAACAAAAGTTCAAAGTACAGGACCAAAAGTAAAAAATTCAAACGGGATGCTAAATCAAAACATGTTAAATTTATTCCAACTTTTTAGTTGCTTATCCTGAATATCCTTAGCGTGAGAATAATACAATGGTGACTATGGGAGGGTGTCAGCGGTATCCTTTAACATGACTATACTAGTCTATTTTTTCGATTATTTATTTAAAATATAAAATGAGAAATCTGAATAAAGCGATGTAACAAAAATCTTTAACAAAATTTTATTAAGATTTTGTTACTTATCCAGATTGATTCTGTCTCAAGCCTATGAATTGGCTTACCATCGGCCGAACAGTTAAATCCGCTAAATTGTTCGATTCGGGTTCCAATCATAGAATGGAATAGCTGCACTAATGTTTTTGTAATTTCCCCCCATGTGTAATATCAGTATGAGCCTAAATCATTTAAGAAAGTCGTCCACGAAGGCATTCCTCCTCTCAGCCGAATAGAAGCAGCCTTTTTACATTTAAAAAATTTTCAGTTTTATGTCATCTATTGCACTGCTTCATATTTTATAAGATATCTGTTGAATTAGACTGCACTGTGTACTATTATTAATAGAAGTACCAGTTTGTAAGATCCATATTGTTTTAAACTTTTGTTTCAAGATAATGAGCTCGTAAGTTTAAGAATTCGTTTAGAATTATTATTAGTTGCGATCGCATATTCGCTCGAATTGCTCCGTTTAACTTAATTCTATTCATTCACGTATTACGTCACATTTGAATACCGATGTCGTACCTCAGTTCCTTCTACGAATGTATTTTATTTAATTTTATAATGGATCCTACAATTTATTAAAACATATGGTGCTTCACAATTCTGAAAGATGAAATTTTCACAACATTCAAAATGCATGACTACAACTAAAATGAACATAGACAGGAATTTTTATATGCAGAGCTTAAATTGCGCCGGAGCCCAGCTCAAGCAGACATTTGATCTCGAAAATTATATTTTTAGCAATAAATTGTATTAAAAATCGCTTATTAAATTATAATTTATACCTTTACGTTTTATTTAATTTTAATTATTGAATTATTTTAATCTTTAATTATTGAATTACTTTAACCTTTAATTATTGTCACCCAAATGGTATAGTGGTTAGAGGAGCCTACTACGGTACCGAAGGGCCCGTTTCGAATCCCGGAGAGGACATGGATGTTTCTAATTGTATATTGTCGGTGTGGCATAGCGGCACTCTAAATATGCGGAGAGCCGAAAGTCCTCTCGTGTGGATTGCATGGAATACCTCCATGGTGGATTGGTGGGGAGACTCCCGAGTTGTCCTTTCTCAAAATTGTCCTCTCTCTTCGAATCCAACCTCTCTTCGAAGTAGGCTCTGGCAAACGTTGTTCCATGTAATAGGGACAAGACAACAACAATCTTGAATTATTTTAATAAATTAATTATGAATTAATTAAATAATTATCAGTTAAAAATATTTAATAAATATTGATTATTAGTATCAGTTAAATATTAATTAATTAATCTGATAATCATTAACTAATTAATTTTTAAATTATTAATGACTTTAAAAGTCATTTTATTTATTTATTTACTCTTGCTCCTCTTTCCTGGCGGTCTATAGGGCTCCGGCACTTCTGCTTTTAGAAATTAAGCCCTGTATATATGTTATACAGAGTTTATTATATTTTTACGTTTCGCGAAATTTATATATAATGTCCTAAACTAGGGGTCCTCAACCTTTCTCTCCCGAGAGCCACATCAATAAATTCGCAAAGATCTGTGGGCCACATGTCTGTCAAAAAATAGTGTAGTCAGAAAATTTATATGAGAAAAGGGAAGTTTGTTTTGTAACACTACAATTGATTCTAAGCGAAGAGATAGTGTTACACATCTGTATATATAGTGTTATACATCTATATCTGTATATATATATATATATATATATATATATAACATTGGTTCCAAAAAGTCAAACGGAAATCGAATTAAAATCTTTTGCAACATTTTTAACTATGGAAAAAAAAAGTATAAAGATGATTATACAGAACGATGTTACAAAATGCATTTACAATTAAAAAAAAACATTACTGGCGGTAGATGGTAGTTATTTAAGTTTTAATGTGAAATTTGACATTATTTTTGCTTGATTAAAGCTTCAATATCCGCTTTAATCTGTGTTGTTGCAATTCGTAAAGTTTCCTCTAAATATCTGTCTGCTGTGTTCTTGTTTTTGATTTTAGGATTTTCATTTTAATAAAACGTTACTCACATATGTAGGTACTGCCAAAGTTAGAAAACATGAAAAGTGCATGTTTATGAATTCCCGGATACGTCTTCGGTCACGTACTTCGAATAAAAATGAGTTAATGTAGAATTTTCAAGAAACTTGCATTTTACTGCAGAGTCAAAATGTAAATCTATAAATTCTAATTGAAGTTCAGGTGGAACATTTCCATCGTCTACTAAAAATGGTGACATACTCATGAACATTTCATTTTCAAGAAAATCGGAAAATCTGCTTTTCAATTCCTCTTTCAACTTTGAAATGCATTGTACATAATCATTTGAATTCCACATTGTAGAGTTAGTTCTTCACGCACTCCATCAGTTTTAGAAAGTGAATGGAATTTTTATTTAACAACTGACTTTCCCACATGATTAATTTTGTCTCAGAAGCTGTCACAAAATAATAAATATTACGAACAAGCAGATCTTTTCCTAGTAAGCGGTAGTTCAAATTATTGAAATGACCTGTAATATCGACAAGAAATGCAAAGTCTCTCAACCATTTCCCATAACTCAACTCGTGAATAGATTTCCCTTTAGATTCCATGAACTGTTGAACTTCGCTCAAGTGAAAGAGGATTTCGCCCATATCTTACACATTTGGGCTCATGATTACTTCCTTGTTGAAGTGTGTTGGAACGAAAACATTGCAGAGGTCTTTCACGTCCTTTAAAGGCTTTAATTTTAAGTTACACAAAAATACTTCATTAAATAGTTGGTTTTATGTTTTATTCTTATGTAAAAGAACTAAGAATAAAAGTAGTTTTGTGATTTCGCCATTTCGTCGTTTAGTCATTTGTTTGACATCAGTAATCTGATATTTCTTTTTAATAACTTGTCTTTTACTTTTTCTATCTCCGTGTCAATAGGTAGACTGTGTATTACAAATTTTAAGTATCTGTTTTTAGGTAAATTTTAGGAATGAATGAAGTTTAATATCCAATTCTTTGAGTTATTTGGTCATTTTTCTGTATGCTTCAGCAATTTCAGCAATAATTTGGAAATCTCCAGATGTCTCTTAAACATAGGCAAATTTGAGGTCATTTAGCTTGAAAAATTGTTTGATTTGATTCCAAAAATAAGCTCTATCTTTGATCATGATAGGAAGTAATTTGTTATGTTTAATTACATCTTTCGTTCCTTGTATGCCATTATTTTTAGTTTTGTTATTTTTGTCGATTTCTGTGCTTGTATATATGTTAGAATTCTCATTATTTAGTTCATATTTTTGCGGTAAGTTTAGATTTCAGAGCATCATCATTTTTGAGTAATTTGGGTTTCGGAATTGCAGTATTTAGTTGAGTTAGAATAATTTGATCTCCATATTTTAACGTGAAATCAGTGTCATCGTCAGAGCTTGATTCTTGATCAAGGGATTTTTCAGCTTAAGCTACTAAAAATATTATCATTTGATGCACCATGTATGTGAATAGGACTTCTAGATCTAAAGAAGATGAATGTCTTTTCTTTTTGCTTTTGTTACGAGAAGTAAGCTCATCAAGTTTATCTGATTTGTTTAGTCCTTCCTTATTCCTTGTACGAAGTAAAAAGGAAGTATAAAAATTTCGGGTATCATATTTTGACATTAATAAAATTATCAATAAAACTCTAGAAATTAATTTCTTTGCTCCTGTTGCTCCTCATAGACAATACAATGAGATTTTGAAATTCAAAATACACATTTTTGGATCTTAGGTACTTCTTAACCAAATATTTTGAAAAATTCCTTTCATAATGCTTGCAGCAACTGTGAGTAAAATTCACAGTAGCATTGCAATATTTAGGACTGCGTTCTGAAACCTGAATTTTAAACTGCTGTTATAAGATGGCATAAAGGCTCTTTGTCTAGAATGAGTGATTTCAGAGTGCAATAGTTTCATATCCGCGGTGAAATTCTGTGCCTTTGTAAATGATTCCGGTTGCAGCCTCGAAGGTCACTCCAGTGGACAAAGAGGTACAAGAAATCTTTTTATCAGGGTCACGAGATGGAAACTTTGTTATGTGTAAGTGAAAGAAGCTTCCCCCTCCCCGGGAGTTCAGCGCAAGTAAACACAAGGAGATATATAAGGTGGTTTCCTGGGAAGAGA